TGGGGAGGATTTTGGGTAAAAAACATTTTCAAATTCGCAGGGGTGGCGCCCCGGCAGGGCGCGATTTGTTTTCTCTCTATATAAGGTATATAAAAATATAAGTCGATTGTGGTTTCACACCGTTCATAGATAGCCATCAAACTTTTGGGAGTTGATTAGAACACTCCAGGGAAGGGTTCTGTAAAAAAATCATTTTAAATTTCGCATGGGCGGCGCCACGGGATGGTGGGATTTTTCTCTATATACGGTAAATAAAAATAAAAGACGATTGCGTTCGACACATTTTATCCGGGTGCCATAAAACTTTAGGGAGCGGGAGTGGGGGTGGGTGGTGGGGGGAGAGTGATTTGATTTTGCATGGGTGGCCGCCCGGCAGGATGCGATTTGGCGCCCTTGTCTTTCCCGTGAGCGCTATGGTGACTACGATCAGTCTAAACAGTGTGATAGACAATGGATAGGATGGAGCGTTACAAATGCTCACTAAATTGAATCAGGCGTGTCCACTGGCGCCTTGGTAGGGTGCGATTTGGCTGCAAATAAAATTTCTGTTTCGGCCCCCAAAATTTCACATGGGCCGCTGAGGGCCATATAATACGTTTTATTTTAATAATCAGAAAAATTAACTAAGGTTAGATTATTCACTGAGATTTTTTAAAGTGCGCGTAACTAACAATCGATTAATTAAAAGTAAGAATGACAAAACCGATCAAACCATTGTGAAAAAAGGGATGACAGGACTTCATTCTTGAGTGTTTTAGAAAAACAGCTCACAAATTTGAAACCGACTACACCGTTACATAACACTTTATGAAGACATAACTGATGTTACAAAACCTGTGTCCTTCTTATGTCATCCACCACTCCGATGTTTAGCTGTTGGGCTTTTTAACACGTTTTTATTAACTCAGCTTCGCGTGGATGTGTTTGTTGTTAAAATTGACATCGAAAATTAGCCCACTTCTGATTGCTCTATAGATCTGAAATTTGGCATGCAGGTTACTTTCGCCTAACAATTTCAGATGCAATCATAAAAACTAGCAATTAGAGACCGTAATTAGCTTAATTTAATTACGCCCAAAGGACCATAACATTGAGGACATGATTTCTAAAGATACCGACAAGACTGGAGGCTTGTTGACACAGTTACTTCGGCCCCAATCGATGTGAGCGCGCTGGCCGTGATCGTATAGTGGTTAGTACTTCGCGTTGTGGCCGCGACAACCCAGGTTCGAATCCTGGTCGCTCAAGATTTTTTTAGTCCGTGTATTTATAAACACTTAGTCAATTCATACTTAATCAAGTCATTAGATAAAGTAGAAAATAAACTATATAAAAAACTTTTTTAAAAACCACGTTTTTCATGTGTAGCAACGGACTAAAAAGGAGAAAATAAAATACTTAAAAAAAACTTTTTAAAAAACCACGTTTTTCTTGTGGACTAAAAAGTAGAAAATAACTATTTACATACATTTGATGACAAAAAACGTCGGTCGGGCAGATGGGTCGGGAAATTTGATGGTGAACGTACCCACGTTTTTTGTCATCAAATTTATGTAAATAGTTATTTTTTACTTTTTAGTCCACAAGAAAAACGTGGTTTTTTAAAAAGTTTTTTTTAAGTATTTTATTAAAAGTGTGAACACTTTTCATGAACGAGATGGAAGGGCGGAGGGCGGGGGGAAGGGTGTTGATTGTGTTGTGATTGGCACAATTTTTAAAGAAATATGGAATCTTCTGAAAAGGGGTGTTAGGCTACGGAAAGTAGTAGACATAAACTATTAGGTTGTTTATTAAACATCCATCGGTAATTGGAAGCCAACCATAATATATTATTAATCAAACACAAACCCTAATTCTTGCCCAAATTACTGTAGGTAATAATGCTATGATTCCTTCATTATAGCACAACTCTTATAGGAAGAGTCTATTAGTTTGATACCAATATTAAGACATTGTTTTTACATGCGCGTGCAGAAAATTAAGTAAAGAAGTAGGGGTGTCAGAACAGATCAAACAATTGTGAAAAAAAGGGATGACAGGACATAATTATGAGTTTTTTAGAAACACAACCCACAAAGTCGAGACCAGCTTATGCCTGGTTACATAACATTTTTGAATGAAGTAACTGATGTTACATAACCTGTGACATTGTTACGTCATTTACGACATGGCATGGTCAGGCTAAAAAAAGTCAACAGTATATTTTGATGCGACAAGGGAGGGGTTGAGGGAGGGGTGGGAAGGGGAGTTTAATTTTATCATCACTGTTCAATAATGCAGTATTAAAGAAATCTTCTGAAATATGAGTTTCAACTGCGGAAAAGGAAACAATTTATTGTTTATTACATTATTGAGAGAAATAGGGGTGTCAGAACAGATCAAACCATCGTGAAAAAAGGGATACCAGATTAGTTTTGAGGGTTTTAGAAACACGTGAAGTCAAGCAACGTCTGGCGTGGTTAGTAGTTAGATGGGTGACCGCTTGGGAACACCCCGTGCTGTAGATTGAATTTTTTAACTTTTTTTTTCATCTTTTTAAATATTTTTTTAATTGTATTTTTATTTTATTTTTAAATAAAAAAAAGGCGAAGTTGGAAGTATTTTTCTTGAGTTATTTTTAATGAACGAATATTAGGTTTTATTAGTGTGTGTTGCTTATATCAAAAGTTTCCTGTACACATCAGTATAAAATGCTATTTTTTGTAATTGTATATATACGGCCATACAATGTTGATGACACCTTTTCCGGTCCGATCACCGAAGTCAAGCGACTTGGAAATAATGTGTGAACATGTGATAAGGCTTTCAAATTATATGTGAACATGTGTTAAGTCATTAAAATAGTGTGTTAACATGTGTTAAGACTTTCAAATAATGTGTTAACATGTAATCAGGCTTACAAATAATGTGTTAACATTACAAAATAATGTGTTAACATGTGTTTAGGCTTTCCAATAATGTGTTAACATGTGTTAAGGCTTTCAAATAATGTGTTAACATGTGTTAAGGCTTTCATTTGATATGTTAACATGCGTTAGGGCATTCAAATAATGTGTGAACACGTGTTAAGGCTTTGAAATAATGTGTTTACATGTGTTAGGTCTTTCAAATAATGTGTTTACATGTGTTAGGTCTTTCAAATAATGTGTTAACACGTGTGAAGGCTTTCAAATAATGTGTTAACATGTGTTAAGGCTTTTAAATAATGTGTTAACATGTTTTAAAGCTTTTAAATAATGTGTTAACATCTGTTAAGACTTTTGAATAATGTGTTAACATGTGTTAAGTCTTTGAAATAATGTGTTAACATGTTATCATATGTTACGACTGGTATATAAAATGTTGTGATATGTGTTATGTGTTACGGCTTTCATAAAATGTGTTAACATGTGTTAGGGTTTTTATACAATCATGTTCCAGTGTGTGCGTGCGCGCTGGTGAGTGTTTTTCTTCCCACGTTTTCTTTAACTTGCTTTCGTCTCTGTCTTTCCAATCAAATCTTGCGATCGAAATTTCTGGCACTTCCCAGTTAGCTAGCGCGCTGAAATTTTCAGGAAAGCTTTGTTTTGGATGACAATAGAATATTCAATTGTTATTATTATTAAATTGATCCATTAGACCGCTATATAATCTATATATATAATTCTCCTCTGCGAGCCGTTAGAAAACAAGCTGCAAGCGCCTCCTTACAGTCCCCTCTCTTTCTCTCTATCACTATCGCTACCACCCTACCCCACCCCCACATGGTCTGCTGAGCTGTGGTCACGTTAATCGCTTGCATTATTGTGATGTATAGCATTTATTTTCTACTTTTTAGTTCAATCAGAAAACGTGGGTTTTTAAAAACTTTTTTAATGATTATTATATACCCGCGGCGTATAACACGCCGTTATTTAGTTGTCTTATTTTCTACTTTTCAGTAATTCATAATTTGTGAAATCTACAGTACCACTGCTGCCACTGAAAATATTTTCTTCAAAACACTATCAGTAGCTCGTTAAGGACGATAACCCTCTCCCTCCTTTCCCCAACCCCAACCCCTACCCCCCTCCCTTCCCCCCTCCCCGTGAAAGAAAACTCCTCTTAGTTACCTCCCCTAAAATTAAAATCGTTTCCAACTAAATTATCTGCCCCTAATAGCCGTCACTAACCCCGGCTCTACGATTGTAAACATTTAGCGTGAACCTCAGCTCACCAGACCATGTAAGGGGGGGGGGTGGTAGGGAGCGCGCTTACAGCTTGGTGTTTTCTATGGTCTCCAAGAAGAGAATTATATATATATATAGATTTTATTGTATTTCGGGACACCCTTCCGACTTGTGCGTTTGTGCTGGTTATTTTTTTTAATCGTGCTTTTATTCCTGTTTGCGGACGTGCCTGTTTTTCGCTTACGTGTATTTACTTTTATTGTTAAAAAGTTTTGCGGCCGTGATGGTGAGTGTTTTTCGCGTTTTCCCGCACTTTTTTTCGTCTATATGCGTGAGTGATTGTGCCTGTTTTTCGTGTGCTTGTAATTCCGGACATCGTTCCGACCTACTGCGTGTTTATTTATGCGTGCATTTCCGGAAATTGGAGCGCGTGTAAGAAGACGTGCTTGTGCGTTTTTGTGTGGTTGTGTATTTACGCAGATAGTTTGTGTGCGGATGTGTGTGTGCGTGCATTTCCGAAAATGAGTGCGAGTTTTTCCGAGCGTGCTTGTGCGAATTTCTTTTTACGCGTACATCCACAAAATGATGCTTTTGCATTTGCGAAAAATACATGCACACACAAATACGCACAAGCACGTTCGCACACTGGTTCACTCAATTTAGGAAATACACGCGTACACACGCCCGCTCAACTTTTTTTTTGTCTAAAAATTTTAATGATAAACAACAATCTGCGAAAACTCTTTGGTAAAGATTGCTAAAACTTTTAAATATTAAATCACTTTAAATTAATGCATTTTTTATGCCTATGTGTGAGTTATACGTTTATGTAAAATAACAGGATACACCAAGTTAAAAGCCAAATATTTTAATGCATATCTTCAGTGTTTTAGTTTAGGGTCTTGATAATTAGGTCGACAACCTTCTCAGCAATCATGATAACAGAGGCCTGTAGATTCCCGGAGACAATGTCTGGCATTATAGAGGCGTCCACCACGCGCAGACCACGTACTCCGTGTACTCTAGGATTAGAAATAAATAAATATTATATATATATATATATATATATATATATATATATATATATATATATATATATATATATATATATATATATATATATATATATATATATATATATATATATTCTTAACACAAGTTAGCCAATTCAGACACAGAATGATAGAAAAATGAGATTCAATTGAATTACCTCAACTGAGAGTCCACCACGGCCGTAGGGTCATCTCTAGGTCCCATCTTGCAGGTCCCCACGGGGTGATAGTCACTACATGGCCTCAGCTTGACCAGACACTCCATGTACTCGCGAGATCTGAACGTGAACCGGGAACACTGGGACACGGGCGTGTCGTCAGTTAATTCAGCCCCGATAACCTGCATGGTGCTGGTATTGACAATCTTTTCACACTCTCTGATACCTGAGGGGAGGGATTTCGGAAGGTCAATGTCCGATAGAAATCCGACTATAATGTTTTTGCTCGAACCTCACATCAAACAATCAGGGATCTCTTCGAAGAATGTCTACCCCCCCCCCCCCACCTTGTCGAACGAAATAGAATTTTAGAATTTATATACAAAATATATACTTTTACCAGTCTGCTCCCCGCACCCCTCTGAAAAGTTCAGGTGCCCCCCCCCCCTCCTCTGGAGAAACAAGTCTGAAGAAACACTGCAAACAACACAACACACACCTTGTCCTAATTTCAGTTTCGCTTACCTTGAATCAAAACATCGATATCGTCCTTGTCACTGAGATAATTAGCATAAATTATCGGCTTATCGAAAGGATCGTCCGAGCGAAGTGTTATCCTGCCTCTACTTTTTGGCCGTATCAAAGTTGGGTTACACATCAGCCCGTACTGTGCTGAGTCTCTCTTCTTCATCTCAGCTAGTACCTGTCAGGATATTAAAAACAAACGTACGTAGTCACGTGATTAGAATCAGGGTTGGAAAAATCTGAGCTAATGTTGGTGACTCACTTCCGGTGTGTAGCCCAGGGTGCCGTCTGATGTTCCTGGAAGAAGGACAGGGAACTCGAGCTGCAGTTCCGGCGGGGAACTTGAGTTATTGGACAATGATTTGAACGCGAGAGCCTGGTACGGAGGCGAGGCGAGAGGACCTGTTAGAATACGTTGTACTGTGTTTAACTCTACTCGTGAGCAATGTCTCCTGCAGAATACGTTGTACAGTGTTTAACTCTACTCGTGAGCAATGTCTCCTGCAGAATACGTTGTACAGTGTTTAACTCTACTCGTGAGCAATGTCTCCTGCAGAATACGTTGTACAGTGTTTAACTCTACTCGTGAGCAATGTCTCCTGCAGAATACGTTGTACAGTGTTTAACTCTACTCGTGAGCAATGTCTCCTGCAGAATACGTTGTACAGTGTTTAACTCTACTCGTGAGCAATGTCTCCTGCAGAATACGTTGTACAGTGTTTAACTCTACTCGTGAGCAATGTCTCCTGCAGAATACGTTGTACAGTGTTTAACTCTACTCGTGAGCAATGTCTCCTGCAGAATACGTTGTACAGTGTTTAACTCTACTCGTGAGCAATGTCTCCTGCAGAATACGTTGTACAGTGTTTAACTCTACTCGTGAGCAATGTCTCCTGCAGAATACGTTGTACAGTGTTTAACTCTACTCGTGAGCAATGTCTCCTGCAGAATACGTTGTACAGTGTTTAACTCTACTCGTGAGCAATGTCTCCTGCAGAATACGTTGTACAGTGTTTAACTCTACTCGTGAGCAATGTCTCCTGCAGAATACGTTGTACAGTGTTTAACTCTACTCGTGAGCAATGTCTCCTGCAGAATACGTTGTACAGTGTTTAACTCTACTCGTGAGCAATGTCTCCTGCAGAATACGTTGTACAGTGTTTAACTCTACTCGTGAGCAATGTCTCCTGCAGAATACGTTGTACAGTGTTTAACTCTACTCGTGAGCAATGTCTCCTGCAGAATACGTTGTACAGTGTTTAACTCTACTCGTGAGCAATGTCTCCTGCAGAATACGTTGTACAGTGTTTAACTCTACTCGTGAGCAATGTCTCCTGCAGAATACGTTGTACAGTGTTTAACTCTACTCGTGAGCAATGTCTCCTGCAGAATACGTTGTACAGTGTTTAACTCTACTCGTGAGCAATGTCTCCTGCAGAATACGTTGTACAGTGTTTAACTCTACTCGTGAGCAATGTCTCCTGCAAGATCATTCGAACTAAGTCTCTGTTCTACATGGCCTAAAAACTGTGCATGATGTATGCCTAAGAGGATGCTGTACACATGCCACAACTTACAAATGGTCTAAAAAATGGCTTTGTACAAGGTACGATTCTGTACACATGTAAAAGCTCACAAAGTGATCTAAAAACTGCATGTGTACAATGTACAAACGACATACAACACATTACTATGTGACCTAAAAGCTGCTTTGTGTACAATCTACATAAAGATTCTGTACACTTACAACAACTTACAAAGTGATTTAAAAACTGCTTTGTGTACAATGTACAAAGATGATAACGATTCTGTACACGTACAGCAACTTACAAGGTGATCTAAAAAAAACTGCATGGGTACAATGTAGAAAAGAAGATTCAGTGCCCATTCAACAAATAAACAATATGACCTTAAAAACTGCTTTACCGTACAATTTACAGAAGACGACTTAATACACATGTAGCAACCATTTGTCTTAAAAATTGAAGATTCTATATCCAAGCAGCCACTTACCAGTGCCATTGATAACATACTTGATGATGTTCGCTGGGTCTGTCCTGTAATGGCGGTTCAGTGTCAAGGACTGATTGATCTTGATACCAACTTCAAAGAACAAGTGGTCCTGTAGGTTGTAACCGACGGGGAGATCTCGCCTAACTTGTATCTGGAGACATGAGGTGGACTTATGTAGAACACTGCGCACAGACGTCGTAAACATAGATGGCAACAGATCAACTCCTAGAACATTCTAAATAGTTGGTTTAGTGCATGCGTGTTGATAACTTATCCAGAAAATTAAACTTTGTAATTATATTTAAATGTATGGTTTTTCTTTTCATGTTATATATATATATATATATATATATATATATATATATATATATATATATATATATATATATATATATATATATATATAATAACTTTCAAGGCTTCCAGATGTTCCTTAGGACCAACACCAGACAGCATTAGAATCTGTGGAGAGCCAACAGTTCCTGCAGACAGGATGACCTCATGTCTGGCTTTGACTTCCGTCTTTTTCCCGTTTCTGATGAAAATAATACCTGTAGTTCTGTCCCCGTCAATTTGTACCTGTAACACAGTCAAACGTTAACTCAATTTAATGCTGCTGGCGTTTGTTACAATGCTTTATGACAAATTATGCTCTGACAATGTCTTATATCAGACAGACATCTGTTACTGTAGACAGACTTATCCCGTACTTTGGTGACTGTAGAGTTGAGCGAGACGTGCAGGTTTGTCCTGTTTAACGCTGGGTGGATGTAAGCCCTGGACGTTGACCATCTCTGGCCGAATTTGACGTTGACCTGAGGCCTAGATATTCCTGTGAAAGAAAATTGACATTTCCTTGTGGTAGTTCATCGAGTTTTATTGTTTTGGATTACTGATCAGCTAATGTGTTGCGATAAAAACAAAAACAAAAACTGTAATTGTTATTTTAAAACTTGGTTTTACAAGGGGTCGAATCCTATACAAATCTGTGATTGGACATATGAAGCTCTAGGTTCCCAGAAAAATGCGCACTCTGGAAACTACGCAACGGAAAATTGGGCAAATAGAAAAATTGCGCTAATATAAACTAATTATACTATTACACTTTAATTTTGTCATATTTCGTGGAAATAAGTTTTATTATGCTACAATGAAATTGTAGTCACTCTCTGTTTTAATGTCTGTATATGCTCGATTAAAAAAAAATAATGCCCTTGCGCACTTTTTAGTGCGCATTTTTCCTCTACGCCCTTTTCCGTTGCGCATCTTTCCGGTCACCGTAGCTCTATAGCTAATGGTGGTACGTAAGAAAGCGGTTGAGCAGATACCTTCTTGTGTGGCACCGTTGTAGTCTGGGTTCACGGTGTAGCCGGTGTCTCTCCCAGCTTCAAGCAGCCGGTCAACGATGGGCAGAGGGTCCGTGATGCTGACAGGGACGGGCCCACCTTTTCCGTGATAGTCTGTGGCGTGATCATGTCAGGTGTTACATTTGACAGAAGTTAAGTGCGCACTGCGGTTATGGAACCACTAAAACATATCTCGTGTTAAATCACAGCCGTTAATGGCATAACCGCGCAATGTTACGTTTTCCAAAAGATTTTATATATAATGTTGATAACCATTTTCACTATTAGCTTTTCATAGTTTGTCAGCATCACTATAACTCAGAAGAGGCATTTTTCCATATAATGGGAACAACATCCCATTATTTCAATGTACTCTATAACGTAAATGCTTCAAAAAGTATAACATTGACAACGCCGATCAGAATATAATAGCAAAATTATTTTTTCAAACCATTGCTTCAAAGATTCTCTTTAGGCCATAATTACTTTCCAAATCAATATATTTTAGTGATAAATATTTAGACAAGCGGAATAACCTGAGTTCCTGAGTTCCAACACCAGCATATCCTCCAGCTTCTTGAAGTAAGGTAAGACATGGTTGTAGTCCCAGCTGTTATCTCTGACGTACCTGGCCCACCTGTCAAAGTCGTGTCTGGAGCCTCGAGTTATCTGCATGCCATTGATGCTGCCAGTACCGCCTAGGACTTTACCACGAGGCCAGTACGATCGCTGTTGAAATTTCACTTTATGATAAATAGTCATATTATAAGACATAATAAAAATTGTACATCTTTTAAGTGAAAGCCATTACTTTACCTACACTATCTTTGTACTCACACCATTATCGTAGTTAGGCCATTATCGTAATTACACCAATATCGTACTTACACCATTATAGTACTCACATTATTATCGTACTTACACCATTACATACTTACACCGTTAACAAAACCTTTCATTACACTCGGCTGTGGCTCCGTGAAATACTGCCAGTCGTTGTCTGTTCGATAGTTGAGGGACGCGAAGGCTGGCACGGTGATAAAAGGGTTCCCCCGTCGTCCCCACCAGCTTCTATCAACAACACGGTGACGCCCCTGTCTTCTGACAGTGTTAGTGGTGGTTCGTTTGTCGGCCATTTAGTGGTGTTAGTGGTGGATTGTTTGTCGGTCATTTAGTGGTGTTAGTGGTGGGTCGTTGGTTGGTCGATCGGTTAGTGATGTTAGTGGATCGTTGGTTGGTCGGTCGGTTAGTGGTGTTAGTGTTGGGTCGTTTTTCTGTCGGTTAGTGGTGTTAGTGGGTCATTGGTTGGTCGGTCAGTTAGTGGTGTTAGTGGGTCATTGGTTGGTCGGTCAGTTAGTGGTGTTAGTGGGTCGTTGGTTGGTTGGTCAGTTTGTGGTGTTAGTGGGTCGTTGGTTGGTCGGTCGGTTAGTGGTGTTAGTGGGTCTTTGGTTGGTCGGTCGGTTAGTGGTGTTAATAGTGGGTCGTTGGTCGATCGATTAGATTAGTGGTGTTAGTGGTGGGTCGTTGGTCGGTTAGTTAATGGTGTTAGTGGTGGACCGATAGTTGGTCAATTAGTGGTGTTAGTGGTGGTCCTTTGGTTGGTCAGTTAGTGGTGTTAGTGGTGGTCCTTTGGTCGGTCAGTTAGTGGTGTTAGTGGTGGGTTGTTGGTCGGTCAGTTAGTGGTGTTAGTGGTGGGTCGTTGGTCGGTCGGTTAGTGGTGTTAGTGGTGGGTCGTTGGTCGGTCGGTTAGTGGTGTTAGTGGTGGGTCGTTGGTTGGTCGGTTAGTGGTGTTAGTGGTGGGTCGTTGGTCGGTCGGTCTGTTAGTGGTGTTAGTGGTGGTTCGTTGGTCAGCGAGTTAGTGGTTTAAGTGGTGGTTCGTTTGTCGGCCATTTAGTGGTGTTAGTGGTGGATTGTTTGTCGGTCATTTAGTGGTGTTAGTGGTGGGTCGTTGGTTGGTCGATCGGTTAGTGATGTTAGTGGATCGTTGGTTGGTCGGTCGGTTAGTGGTGTTAGTAGGTCGTTGTTTGGTCGGTCGGTTAGTGGTTTTAGTGGGTTGTTTGTTTGGTCGGTCGGTTAGTGGTGTTAGTGGTGGGTCGTTGGTTGGTCAGTTAGTTGTGTTACTGGTGGGTCGGTGGTCAATCGGTTAGTGGTGTTAATGGTGGGTCGTTGGTTCAGTCAGTTAGTGGTGTTAGTGGTGGTCCTTTGGTATGTCAGTTAGTGGTGCTAGTTATTATACGTAGATCGGTTGTTGTTTGTTGTTCAGTTGTTATTTAGTGGTGTTAGTTTTGGTTTGTAGGTTGATTGTCATTGGTAGGTTAGGTATTTGTTAGTAGATAAGTTGTGGTTCGTTGGTCAGTGGTTGGTTAATGGTGTTATTTGTGATTCGTTGGTTATTGTTCTTTGGTAGATTTGTGGGTAGGTTTGTTGGTAATTTTTCGGTAAGTGGTGTAAGTTGTGGTTCGTAGTTTGGTGGTGGATGGTTGGTTGGTTGTCTGATAGTGGGTTAGTTATTGGTCTGTTGTCGCCTTATGATGGTAGCTAATGTTCGTTGGTTTGTGTTTGTTTGTAATATGTTGTTTATGTTTAACGAGCCGGCCCGCGGCATAACATACGCCGCTATTTAGTTGTTGTTTTTTCTACTTTTCAGTAATTCATAATTTGTGAATTCGACAGTACCAACGCTGACACTGAAAATATTTCTTTAAAACACTATAAGTAGCTCGTTAAGGACCAAACCCCCCCCCCCTTCCTTCCGATTTTTTAAACCTCAACATCCCCCCCCCCCCCCACACACACACCCACACAAACCACTCGCCCCATCCATTGACCAAAGGGCGGGCGATGATTAAATTATATATTTCATATTTCATTTTGATACTGCGTTCTAAATTGTCCGTGGAGGGGGGAGAGGGTGGAATGACATACCCCAATTCAATAGTCACATATTCATATTATCCTCTCTTAAGGGGAAATAACCAAGCTTCGATGATGCTGTCTACAGTATTAAAAGAGTTGTCGCGCTTCATAAAGAAAATAAATCGAGGGTATACACGACAATGCAGTTTGTCCACTTTTTTGTCAAATCGAAGTACATTTATACAAATACTGTCAATATTACAAGCAAAAAGAACACTCATGTACAATGTCAGAAAAGTAGAATGCTAATATTTTATGAATGTTTAAACATAATATTTAGCACTATTTTAATATTGGAATGAGATTTATAAACTCATTTTTCTCGAGATTATATTGTCCTCTATACACTCGAAATATATATTCTGCCCCTGTTAATTTTATGACAGTGCGCTCCTAGCGGGAAAAGGTGGGGGGGGGGTCGAAAGGTAATGAGTAGGGGGTGATAGGTTCATAAAGTGTGACGTCCCAATCTTGCGTTTTAAAAAATGTGGAACTGAATTTTAAAAGAAAATTATTTAGCGTATTTTATTGGAAGTTGTAATAAAAGCAGACACAACTTACTCCAGAGTTGCTTCCAGGCATCTCTTCGAACCTCCCGACACCCCCCCCCCCCGCCGAAAATAGTCTACCAACCCCCCACGTTAAATATATATATGATTATATATATATCTATATATATATATATATATATATATATATATATATATATATATATATATATATATATATATATATATATATATATATATTTGTTTATATGTGTATATGTATGTATATGTATGTTTATATGTGTATATGTATATATATGTATATATGTATATACTATGATATATTTTCGATGTGAATAAGGTGATCATGGCATTTAGACAGAATAACAACTACCAATACAGAAGGAATGGGGAGTAATGCAAATATTTACGTTTCTTTTAGTTGGGTTGTCTTACCATGTAATCTAAATAATTTGAAATTGTAATCAAAATAATTACCATATAAGAGATATAGTTTGCATCCTTTGTTATGCGTAGGCGACTATAAGCTCTAACTAAATGTATTTACTCTGTTTGATCGGGTGAGATAAAGACTGGATAAGGTTACATTTCGGTCTCACGATGACCTTTTGACCTTCAGGTCTGAGTGAGTAGATTAGGTTGTGATGTCTGCTCACGATATGCCAGTACAGACCATGAATTGTGTTATGTAAATGTTTTTACTCGCCAATGTAAGCCTTTAATGTAAGGGTGGATAGGGGGGGACGGACGGAGGGGTCGTCCATAAATAACATCACCCACGCTGGGAGAAGAGACGGTAGCGATGTATCTGTTACCATTGCCATTTCTCTAAAGGGAATGTCGGGGTGGGGGTGGGTATGTATTGTGGACTACGAATTGTGACTTAGATCTTATAAGTTTTAAAAATAAAAATGAAAACCATCCTTATTTCTTTAATGTTTTATTTTTTAATTTTTTAATTGGATTGGGGGGGGGGGGGGGGTTGAGGGAGTGAGGTCAATGTCGGTTGATGCGAGAATTTTTTTTTTTTTCCACAGTCCAAAGCAAGGGAAAATGTGTGAATGCTGTGTTTAGATGGGCGTGTCTTAAGTCAGTCATTGGGCATACACAGAAACCAGCCCTTACCATCCACCCCATCCCAGTGAGGCTACAAGTTCAGGTGTGGGTGGTGTGGACCACATCATCTCACGGGGTGACACCAAAATGATAAAATGTTGTTAACTTTAATGAGACGGTACGTTTAATCCCGTTACTCTAACAACAAATTAAGGTTAATGACATCTTTAAGCACACGGTGACGCCACGCTAGATGCAGGTGACACCAAAACATCTATAGACGTGGAACATCACTGGAAGATTCATGTGGTATGCTTGCAGAATGCATATTGATGTGGTTTGTTTGAGAGATTAGGGTCGGCGTGGTCGAGTCGGTAAAGCTCATGGTTGCTAAACCGAAAATTCTCGAGTTCGAACCCTCGGGGACAGCCGCTCTTCTAGGAGAGACAACTTCAAAATCAAACAACTGCTGCCTTGAAGTTTGTTCTTGGTTGGACAAAGGCTTTGGAAGCAAATCCAAAAAAGAAAAGCAGGCTGAAATCGGAGTGAATGGCCTCAATGGCGCATAACCAGTTGACACGTAATCCTTAATTGTGATGGAAGCATGGTCGAGTCGGCAAAAAGCTCATGGTTGATAAATTCGAAAAAAAAAGTCTCGATTCCAAACCCTCCGGCAGATAAGGCTCGATCCCTTCCAACACTAAAAATTAAGAACGAAGAAGAAGAAGTTTTGAGAGATTCATGCTAATGTAGTGTTGTGAAAGATTTGTGTTGATGTGCTGTCTTTAAGAGATTAATGTTGATGTGGTATATTTAAGAGATTAATGGCGTGTGACTTGTCTGAAGGATTCGTGTTGATGTGTTATGTCTGGAACATCCATGTCAAAGCTTATGTCTCAATGTCAAAAAAAAATCCGGTGTTATTAAAGCTGTCGTCTGCATGTGATATGAAACCAATTGAGAAAAAAAAAATCATTTTGGCTGACAAGGTGAGGGCTAGCATCAAGCCCCTGCCCCCTCTCCCCCACCCCTATCCCTACACCGCAACCCACTCTTCTAAAACTCTTTTGGGAATCAGAAAGAAAATTTCCAATTTGAAAATCAAGATTCGTCAGAAAATCGATATCGTTCGGGGATCAATGCGTTTAACTCGATACACACACTTGACATGTTTCAATTGATTGTGGTCGAGAGGGGGAACTGGAGATTTAAAAACAGGAAAGCTCTGGCTAGTGGGCAATAATTGTGTTATTGGATACTTGCACTTTTAAACGCGTGACGTTTTTAACCAACAACAGACAAGTTTACTTCAGACTTTTATATTGCAATTAGTTGACCCTTCACATTTGTAGTTTAAGGTCGCTCATACTAATTTTTTTTTACAATATAATAGACCGACTCTTTAAAATCTGTATTGTTGATGCTTATACTCACAGCACTCTTAAAGTATTTATCTTGATATTTAGTGCTCACGAAAATGTTGGTATTGTTGAGAGTTTTCTCCTCATCATAAAGGCAAACACACACATAAGGACATAAAGAATTACTCAAGAAAGTGTAATATGTACGTGACGACATACACACCACGATGTGTCACAGTATTTTATGTATTGTCACATGACTACAATTGATCAGACCATCACGAAATCACGTGATACAGAAGCCTACACAGTATATTATTTTAAACACGTGATACCCGTCTTTTTCACACCTGTCACCTTTACGAGCTCCATTGAAGATAGTGACACGACTCAGTGGCAAAAGATTTTAATGTTTAATTAATAAAATATTTACTTGTACAGTTTTGAAAGATCCGAATAAGGCATAAAATAGAGGGGGAAATTGAACGTTGGTCAAACAAAAACATTGTGTGTGCCACGTGACTTACGTCGTCAATCACTCACATAAATATCATACAATCATGCAATCATACAGGCATACAGTCAATCACAGAGCTCTCATGACTCACATAGCACCACACAATCACATACATCTCATGACTAAACCAGTCACATCACTCATGTTTTTTCATTCACAATCAAACAATTACTCGCAACTTTCTTATCACTCACAATCTTTCACTCCCATAACTCACCACCTAAATGTCACTCAATCACACGTTTTAGTTGACCATAGACAAGGGCAGCTCTCATTATATAGATCTATATGTTACCGACAAACCATGAAAACCAGACATTCTATAGAATGCCTAGGCATTATATAAAATCTGTGGCGTTTCAGGCAAAGTATGAAATATCGACGTTGTTATATACCTTTCCAAGGCATTAAATAAAATGACAAAGTCTTTAGCAACAGTCTACAAAGAAAAGAATAAAAAAAAGAAAATTAAAACAGGCGAATTTTACTGTGCTAACAAAGGAATCAGAAGTGTTAGTATTTACTAGTTATTGCGGCAGAGAAGGCAAGAATGGCATTTTGAATTGCCCTTAATTTTTTGTCTAACCTGACCCTTAAGCTAACTCTTACCCTAACCCTAGCCCTAAACCTAACGCTAACTCTTACCCTAAAGCTAACCCTAAATCTAACCCTTAATCTAACGCTAACTTTAACCCCAAAGCTAACCCTGAACCTAACTCTAACTTTAACCCTAAAGCTAACAAATTTGACGGGTTGATCTTGTGTGAAAGCGTATTCTACACTCTGCCTGTTTGTCAATGGCTATTCTATAGAATGACTAGGAAATGTATTTATGTATTTTATACTTTGACGGCCCATTTCAGGCATAATACACACTGCCTAGATGTATAAAATGCCATATTTTACACTTTGTAGTTATATATACAAAAAATTCAAATACATTGTCTGATGAATTAAAATATGGGCGAATCTTGAGCACATGCATTTCAAGGAAATAAAATCCGTGTTTAGAATTGAAGTACCCGGGTCACGTGATGAACATAATGTAACCTAACAGCACCAATAGGATTGTCAGGCAGCCTGCGTCATCACTGCATACACAGCCGTCTGCGTGACGTCATCACAGACCATGCAGCCATTTTTACAGTAACATCACAGCTGACTAGACAGGTCGTTTTCAATGCGTCATAAATAGATCACAATTGTATTGTATATAATGACGCCACAATGAAACAACACAGGCGTGGGATTAATTAATATGGCGTCAAAATTAACCCGAACACATGTACCCCCCCCCACCTTCCCACATAGTGTGACGTCACCAGGAGACGACGCAGCTGTTTTTAAACGTGTACTGCAGCCTGTCCGGCAGGGAGTAGCGCTCACTGTGCGCGTGCTGCGCCAGGTCGGGCCTGGAGTGACACAGGATGTCGGGGTAGGAGACCAGGGTGCGCGACTTGGGCGTCACCACCACCTGGGGGCCTACCGACCCGCTGGGGGACATCCCCGACAGGTTGTTGCCCCGCCGGCTCGAGCAGTACTTGTGACGACATATCCGGTGCAGCCTGCCGTCCGAGTGCGCATGCGCGGCGCTGGTGTTGCCCTGGGTGGGGCTGGAGTTCTTGCACGTGGTCTCGTCCGTGGAGGGGTACCCGTAGGGCAGCAGGCGGTGACCTTTCCTGACCTCGTTGTCCGTGAACTTGGCCAGACGGATGGCGTTGTCCTGGTAGAGGAAGCAAGAGTTGCTGGGGTGGGGCCGCAGGGGGTGCTCGGCGCCCACGAACTTGGCCTTGAGCTTGTAGAACGCGGGGATGGAATGTGTGTCAAGGTTGAAGCAGCAGCGACACAGCGTCCGTTTGAAAGCCTGGCGGAACTTCCTGGACAGCAGGTTGTACAGGATAGGGTTGACGGTGCAGCTCAGGAAGTACAGGACGCCTGGGGAGTAGAACAAACACAGGGTTGTAAGGGACGTGTAGAACAAACACAGGGTTGTTAGGGAGGTGTAGAACAAAATATTTTAGCATAGAACAAACACAGGGTTGTAAGGGAGGTGTAGAACAAACACAGGGTTGTAAGGGAGGTGTAGAACAAACACAGGGTTGTAAGGGAGGTGTAGAACAAACACAGGGTTGTAAGGGACGTTAGAACAAACACAGGGTTGTAAGGGAGGTGTAGAACAAAATACCTCAACATAGAACATTGTCATAATTAACGCGTATAACAAAATACTTCAACGGCGTAGAACAAACACATGGTTGGAAGGGACGTTAGAACAAGTATAGGGTTGTAAGGGACGTGTAGAACAAAATACGTCAACATAGAACAAACACATTGATTTAATTGACGTGTAGAACGAAATACTTAATCGTCAAAGAAAAAGCACTTTGTAAATATTTAGGAAGAATAACCATAGGAATAAAACTAGCATAATTGACGTGTAGAAGAAAACCACGTAAGCAAAAAACAAGCACATTGTTTGACTGAAAAACTACAATACACTATGGAATGTTTTTCTTTGCATTATGACAAACGCCAAAAGCAGAAATAACATATTATTCTCATTGATATAATGAACAAAGAACACAATTAAAAATAGAGCAAACATATTCTAAATGACAAAAAAAGAGACGCACGAAATCTCACATATATTTCTTTAAGCATGTATGTAAATTGCTATTTTTGCAAAACTATGATTTAATTTACAATGTAAGATGAATCATTAGCTGGTTTTAAACTATGATGTAGTACACTATCTATTATCTAAATATAGTTTAAATAAAACAGCAACAATGGAGCTAAGAATACAATAGTTTGGAAAAGTTACAGAAACCACGTATTGCCATTACTGTAAAATTTGTTAGCATGTAGCACTCTAGATTTACACTTCTGTCTGACAGTGCCCGACGTTAATTTCTTTGGTTGAAAGTTTGCTTTTTGATCTGGCCAGTTGCCCAGTCAGGCCAATGATTCAGTTGCGGTTTGCTTAACAACATGGATGGTGTAGGGGGCTTAGAAGCGCTCCATTGAATATGTGTGTGTTGTGTGGGTATGGTTGGGTCTTTGTGATTAGGAATGTGTCATGTGGGTAGGGATGTGTCATGTAGGTAGGGGTGTGTCGTGTGGGTAGGGCTGTGTCATGTGGGTAGGAATGTGTCATGTGGGTAGGAATGTGTCACGTGGGTAGGAATGTGTCATGTGGGTAGGGATGTGTCATGTGGGTAGGGGTGTGTCAGGTAGGTAGGGGTGTGTCGTGTGGGTTGGGTCCTGTCATCGAGTGTGTGTCTTGTGGGTAGGAGTATGTCGTGTGGGGAGGTGTGATTCTTGAGGGTGGGGATGATGTAATGTGTCTGTTATAGTTTCAACATTTCCACTTACAACATGAACTTTAAATCCCTTTTTACGTTTGCTAGATAGGATAGCCCCCCCCCTCATCCCACCCCTCACATTCACAACCTTCTGTTAGTAGATAGGACTCCATGGCTGTCCCCCTCCCCCCCCCCCCCCCCCCCCACCAATTTCAACCTCTTTCCTTTCTCGGTTTGACGGTCTGATGTACCCACAATTCAAGGTTCTCAAGGATAAGTAAAAACTTAACACACAAAATTTATCTTAAAAGAAAAAAGAGCGCAGAGGAAAAACGAGTTAAAAAAACAATTACCTATTACTGTAAAACCCTGGAGACAGTGAGGCACTTTAAGTGTTTAGAATCCTTTCTTCGGCGATACAATTACAGAAATCAGATTTATAGCCACGAGTCAGAAGACAATCGCTGACGCCCATGAGGTTATATTAAGCTGATTGTCTTTAAAGGAGTTTTTGTTTTGAAGATTTAAAGGGCAGGGTTGGGTATAGAGGGACTAGAGAAAGGTGAAGGTCAGATTGACGTAATGCGTTTTCGGATGCCTCTTTGACACACGTTAAATTTAAGGTGTGTGACGGATAGCTCATTTGCAACTTGGTGTTTTTATGGTTAGTGTTATAGTGTGGGGTGGGGGTGTTTTAGTGGTTTGGTGTTATAGTGTGGTGGTGTTTTAGTGGAGTGATGTTTTTGTGGAAGGTATTTTAATGTGATGGTGTTTTATTGCGATGGTGTTTAAGTGGGGTGATGATCTATTGAGGTAGTGTTTTATTGTGGTGAAGAGTTAAAGAAGTGATGTTTTATTAGACTGGTGTTTCATTGGAATGGTGTGATCTTTTAATGGAGTGATGTTTAAATAGTGTGATGTTAAAATTTCGAATGTCATGTTTCACATGTAGCTGGATTGATCTCAAATATCACGAAGCTGCTGTTTATTGCGTTATTCAAACAAATATTTCAATTCCTCAACTTATGAAACACGACGTTACAACATAACGTAAACTTTACGAACGTAAGAAGACACATCAACATAAACTGGGCTCATATTTTCATCGAGAACCTCTAGATTTATTTAGCTGTTATCTAATTAACTATTTTCATCTCTTCCAGCCTCGTCATAAACATTGTTTACGTGATAATAAACATTTGTCATTTTAGAGCTGTCTGCATCTAGCGTTATAAAAGGGTAAAAAATGTGCACAAAAACATCTCACATATCAGTACCTGATTGGGACATGGAGAGAGTGGGAGGAGGTTATTTTTGTGTCACCGGCACCTTCATTCGGCGCATAGGGGTCAGTAGCCTTAGATTTCTGACACAAATACTAATTCGTTCACCTTGGATGGTGTCAAAAATATCCATTCGTTCTCCTTAGATTGCGTCAAAAATATCCATTCGTTCTCCTTAGATTGCGTCACAAATATCCATTTATCCACATTAGTTTCTAAACGCAAGTGATAAATGGAGTTTTATTTCTGATCACGATTTATGAGAGCGTGGACCTTGTTTGCCTCCTGTCATGTTAAAGTCACGTGAAAGTTGTTGTCTCTGTCACGTGGAACTTGTGTCTCTGTCACGTGGATTCTGTGTATCTGTCACGTGGAATTTGTGTATCTGTCATGTGGAATTTGTGTATCTGTCATGTGAAAGTTGTTGTCTCTGTCACGTTAAAGTTGTGTCTGTGTCACGTGGAACTTGTGTTTCTGTCACGTGGAAGTTGTGTTTCTGTCACGTGGAACTCTTATGCCTGTCACGGGAGAGTCATGCATATCACGTAAAAGTTGTTGCGTGTCACATCACACTTGCGTGCTGTCACATACAAGTTTCCTGCTTTCAAAATGTCGGAGTTTATTTAAAAACCAAATCAAAGCCGCCCGGATTAAAATAGTCTCACGACAACTTCATCTCTCTAAAGCAGTGGTTCCTTAATCTTTTGGGAGGTACCGAACCCCACCTGTCTCATATGCTCATTCACCCAACCCTTCTTAATAAGTAAATAATATCGTCCGCACTGACAAAATCCGATCTTGAATCATACGAGTCGGATGTGAGTCTTGATCTCCAACGAACCCCTGAGACTGACTCACCAAAGAATAACAGATGACGTAAAAAAAAAATCCCAGGAAAGTCCAGAAAGATGAAGGGTCCAAAATGACAGTCCGTGTTTTTTGAGTCAACAAGCTATTTAGTAAATTAAATTTCAGGCGGTTTTGTTTAAATTAAACCACATAACACGTGAAATCTAATAGTTCACGAGTTGGCCTTCACCTTGTTTCTAAATATACCTGGGAAGGTCTTTGAAACGAACGTCAACAAACTATTTTCACTGGATAATTATCATGTCAAGTAGAAAATTAAAATTAACAAGTTCAATTTTTTTTTAAAATAAGAGGAACAAACAATTTTTGAAAAGACAGCCACTTTTTTTTTCTCTCATTAGAACAAATTAACTTTTTTTCTATTTGGTAAACTAGTTTATTTGCAGATTATCAATACAGATTTTTTTTGTGTACGGCTAAAATGCCGTTCCTTAAGGTCCAGGTGTAACGCTTAAAATTGTCTGCAGTGGCTAAGTATAGCCACGACAGTTAATTTAATGTTTTTAATTGCACCGAACACAAAGTTGTCTCCCATCTTATAAAACATGCGCCATAGCTTGCTACAGGAAGTAAACAAAATAAAAGTGGCGAGGTCTGATAGTTTTTAGATTTTATTCTCTGATCAGGTTTATAGACAGTGTTTCTTCCAGACTTTTTTGTCCGGCAGGGGGGGGGGGGGGCTTGAAATTTTCGGGAGAGTGGTGGGCGGACTAAAATTTTCGGGGGAGGGAGGGCGGACACTGGTAAAGGTATATTCTTTATATATAAAATATATATTTCGTTCGGGTGGGCGGTAGACTCTCTTCGAGGGGTGGGGGGGGGGGGGGTTTGAGCCCCCTGATTTAAATACTGTGATTAAGGTGAAGTGTATTTAATTTATGGACACCAGCATTTAGTTATTGATCTATCGATATAGATATGTATTGATTTTTTAACTTGATACATTCACATTGTGATTGATCTATTGACATACATGTGTAGCGATAGCCAAACAGAGACAAGGGTTGAGCTATTTGTGGTTATCTTATTGGTAGAGCCAATTCGATCATTTTATCAAAGGATGACCGGCACTTGCACGGCAACAACCGGCACTCAAAGGCAACAACCGGCATTAACTGGGGACTTGATAAAGCTGATGTGGCGTCACATGATCCGTCGACCGTGTAATAGGCGCCCTACAATGGTCGAATGGCTAACAGAATCCAGGTCAGTGTGGGGACTCTGGGCAATTAGCTAATTCGTTCCAACAATAGACAATAGCCTTGAGTAAACGGACCAGGCAATACATTGTATTTAATGAAGCATAATTGGCTGTAGTTATCAGAAAGATCGTTGATTACAAATTGGCAATTATCGTAGAGTAAGATACACAGCAAAACAAAATTAAATTAAATTGAAATAAAAAGAACAAATATTTCGAAATGATAAAAAATAAAAAATAGTTAAATAATTAGTTTCGTTTTTTATTTTTCAATGG